CCCCCCCCCATTCGCTTTACTCACTGTGTAGTGGATGGCCAGAGTGTCTCCTGTCGCCGAGCGCTCCGTGCAGCCTTCAGGGGATGCCACCTGCGGAAAGGGGAAAAAGAGGGGAGGGGGGGGGAGAAGTGAGAGACGCGGGGAAGATGAGGGAGGGGGCGCCGACCAGCTGTAGCTCAACCTTCCTCTCTCTCCTCGGTTGAAAGCAATGCGGGTTAAGCCTTCGCGGGGACAGCAGCTTTCGACCTGGAGAGACGCGCGCGCAGAGACGCTCCGTCCCGAGAGGGGGTTGTTATTCTCCTTTCGCCCTCCCCAATTCGCCCGCGAGTGAGGGAGCGCCTAGAGTCCTGCATCCTCTCGTCTCCAGCTGTCATTTAAAAGAAGCCGGAGGCGGCGAGGCGTGCCGGCTCTTCCCCGCAAGTAGCGGAACAGCGGCGGCGGCGGGAGCGAACGGCACGTCGGTTCCTTCCAGGCCAGATGTGCCCACGCGCACTTACCAGGGTTTCAATCTGGAGCGGAGTTTCGCTTTTGCTCTCCTGCTCCTGGCCTCTCGCCCCACAGCTCAGGAGGAGGAGGAAGGAGAGGCTGACACGGAGCCGAAGTAACATAGCGAGGGGAGACGGAGGCGGCTGGGGTGGGCAAAAGGAAAAAACAGCAACTATCACCCGGGCTTATACCTCAGGGCTAAGGGTGCCTCCTGGCGCCGCCCCTTGCTGCCCGCTTCTCCGCCCCAGAGGGAGGAGAGAGAGAAAGAGGAAGAGAGCAAGCGGGGCCCCTCCTAGCAAGCGGGAGCGAGAGGGGAGACCCGGGCCTTGCACCCTACCTGGTCCGATGCAGCGATCGAGCCCTTCGCGACTGATCGATAGTACCTGTAGATCCTGAAAATGGAGTGGATTAAGCCGCGATTTAACAGGGGGGATGAGTGTAGGCCTTATGAGAGAAGAGTCATCCCTTAGAAAGTGAATGAAAGTAGTTTTGTTTATTTATTTATTTTAATTAGTTTGTCAAACATGTACAAGATAGCAGGTATAAGTATGAACATGGGCATGAGCAGAGGAAATACCTCCAATAGACCGATCAGATCCCACAGATTAGGCCTCCTCCGAATTCCATCCGCCGGCCAATGCCGACTGGCGANTTACAGTCAACTGCGCATGCGCAAGCAAAGCAAACCGGTACCAACCAGTACAGGAACCCACCCCTGATTCCACTGGGAAACAATGTTGAAAAAGATAAAGAACAACTTTATTTCCTTTTGGCTTTGTTTTTCTTCTCTTCCTTGAGTTTCTTCTTAGATATTCGGGGCATCTGGACTCTGTGGTAGAGATAGTAACCAATCAGTCCCAGCAGGCCTGGGACAAGCACAATGCTCAGCAAGGGGAGTATGTCGTTGGACAGCTTCTGCCAGTGATTGGCTCTGGAGAGCTGGATTAATTCAACTTCAAATTGCAGAACAGCATTAGCTGGAAAGATACAAAATCTGTGAAACATACCTAGAAGATCCTACATAATACCATGTTCCACAAGGCAAACTAAATCTAGAAGTATACCTAGAAGTATTATTTTTGAGTTTATATGTTTGCATGCATACTCCTTTTTTCTTAAGTCCTTCCCTGCAGCACAGATGTGGCTTTACAATATTACTTCCTAAATCCCCCCCCCCCCCGTCAATTCCTTTCCAGACTCTTTTTCCTGGCCCAGTTAGAGATAGCATGTCCAATCAACATTACAAAACAACAGGACCGGGCATCCTAAATATCTGGCTACCTCCTGCTCCAGTAGGTTGACTGGCCATTAAATAATTGCTGGTAACCAAATCCTACCTGGTATAGCTGGTGGGGAACCTCGCTTGCCATATGCCAGGTGAGGAGGGATAATGACTCTTCGTTTCTCCCTGCCGGGGGAAAAAAATGAGTAAAGGCCAGGTGGGTACTGATAAGATACAGGTGCACAAGGTTCTTGATTTCAGTGGGATTTTGCCAACTGATCACCTCTAAGCTAGAATAAGCATTGCAGCCTTTAGCAAAACAAGCTATGTCCTTGAGGAGAGGGGAAGTCCTGGTAAAAACTGGGCAGACATGCTGGACGAGTTTTTCTGACCAGATTGCCTATTTTCCTGTGTGGAGTGACATTTACATAACTGGAACACAATTTTTTAATTTGAATTTTTGAAATTAAGGCCTAGAGCACTTTTGAATGTTAAGATAAGAACAGAATGAATTGGTGAGGGCTTGCATTAAGGTGTGAAAGAAAACTAAATGAGATTTTTTTTCAATTACATTTTGTCCTCCAAGCCTCTTAACATTGTTTCATTTTCCTCTGCACATATTCCAGTTTGTTAATCTTCAAGCATCAGGCTAGAAATTGTGAGGAGATTCTTAGTTGTAATCCAACTTTAGGCACAAAGCCAATTTAGGCCAGCCTCTTTCTCTCAGCTCTAGAAAGGGGGCAATGGCAAACCACTTTTGAAATCTTAGCAAGAAACCTGCAGGATTTTTTGTCACCGAGTCAAGATTGACTTGAAGGCAGCCCCTGTCGTCTCCCAAATCTTTATCTTTGGCGAGTGAAACCCTTTACTTCATTGTACTTGCCATCTTTTACTTTATTTTTTTTAATCGATTTTCTTATAATTTGATTAATAAATGTGAGCAAACCAGAGTTGTTGAGCAGCATGTTGTTAAAACATTCTGGTTGATCATACAGCTGTCAGATGTTTAGACTGGATTTGGGATTTTCATCCACCCATTGAGTCTTTCCCAAAAACCTGGGATAGCCAGGTGTTGTTTGTTAAAGGCACTGTTGCAAGATGTAAGCTGCTCCAAATATAATTGCTTCCTGCAATTGACTGATGGTGATTTTATCAATGCTGATGGTATTCAAGTGGTGCTCCAGATGGTTTGGGATTACACAGAAGGTGCCTATTACTCTTCGTACAATCTTGGTTTTATTATGATTGTTCTTGCAAACACTTTCCAGCCTCTTTCCCTTCTCTATTGATCACTGCGTTTTTTGCAGCAGCTCCTCTTTGATGCCCATCTCTATATAATCACAAGGATGGGAGCTATATTCTTTTTCAGATGTTCAATTCCATGTCCCATAACAGTGATGGCGAACCTATGACACGCGTGTCAGTGCTGACACGCGTAGCCATTTGGGGTGACACGCACAGGATTT